ATATTGCGCGGTCCTCTCATTAAGTTACGCCCCGGCAAAGCCAGAATCAATGGACGATAATTCTTCTTCAGCAACAAAGTAGTTGCAGCGTGGACGCCCTCCCCGAAGAGTTCGTCCTCTCTACCTGTGTTAATTCATTTAAGAGCAGACTGGAGATGCACCAAACACAGCACTACACATCCCCCATGCAAACAAAAGATACAGCATTACGGTATACTACTCGTGATAAGCGAATATTCACGGGTTATTACCATTTCGACTATCCAACATCTATTGTGCCTTCACCCGCAACATGTAATTTTTAAATTTTTCTTTGTATCCATATATTTCCTATCATCTTGTTACCAATTGGGATTTCAAAGGTGTTCGCCTATCTTACCCTCAATAAACTGCTCCTGATACTGATACACTGTCTTCGGACGTATGTCTGAAATTTAGTAAGTAAAAGATTGTCTTTATACTTAAGGCGGACTTCTTAAAAAGGCAGAATTTATGCTTGCCAGTTTCCCGAAGAGATGCTGAAATACTGAACTGCGTAAGCTGATGGACTTTGGAAAAGTGGCAACTCTCAAGGATTTGCTAGTTCCTACCTCCCCTACAACAGAAGACCGGAATAGGAAAATCCCGAAATGCAGGTGAGTTTGCTTTTAATTTCAGGGTCACAACTGTTGAAGTAGAGGTAAGGGCTACGGCTAGGGTTAGCATTAATTTTATAGCACGAGAATAATACACTTAAGGTTATAGCAAAAACATAATACCCTTCCTGGAATTTATCGCAGGACCACCCACTGCATGAAGGTGGAGGACGTTCATTTTTCCATGTCCCGCAGGGAGAGGGGAGGCAATATAAGGGCGTATCACGGGAAAATTGTAATACTGGAGGCAATTTGCAGACCTGTCATAACAAAGGACAACACCCGAAAACATCTTAGGGCCAATGTATGGGATTTGGGTGTCAGAGCAGAGATTTATGATAAAGAACTACTAGCTCATAAACAGTAGTCTTTATATTTTTGTGTATTTTATGCTACTTCACAGAAGGTTCCGAATAGAGCTGCTTAACTTGCGGCAAGAACTGAACTCCACGGAGAAGTTATAAACGAATAGACCGCCCATCCATAAAAAGAACTCAGGAAGGTGAGCAGATAGCATCATCCGCTAGCACGCAATACCGGTGGCGGGTGTCGCAAGTGTCGGATATATAGGAGGTCCACTGGTTACGGACATCAAATCAGTTTTGGACAGGGGTTAACCGATAGCAAAGCAAGCTTGACATTCTGCCAAAGAAACGGACGTAGGCTACAGTGACCGTGAGAGGGATACGTTCTAGCACGTATATGCTCTTACAGAATATTCGCTATCAGATGGTGGAATGTTGACTCAGCGATCTTGAATCGCCATTAAGTATATTAGGCGGAAAAACACATGTACAATTGGTTGAAATCTCCGAAAAGACTTCGAATGAAAAAACGATTACTTAGACTAAATTGTTATACTGCTATATTAATTTGCATAGAAAGATAACGAATGGTATACACAACAGTTTGCACTTTAACAGAATCATATATAACCGCAATGTTATTTTTCAACGCGGCGAATAGTCAATAATTATGTTGAGATGCAAGAAGAAAAAGTGCGGAAGGGAATTAACAAAAACCAAAGGTGGATTAAGTCTAGGCCTGCGATTACTAGGGCGCTTGGAGATTAGCCACATGACCTAACTACTTACATTGGTCATGTTTCTCCTACCCTATATAGGCTGCTTCCTTGTAGCGCAAGGTCTGATTTTTTGTGCTCGAAAAAGTACTCGGCAAAATGTTTTGAGTTCAGTAAATTGACAACGGTCTAGCTGATGTTTCTGATAGAAGATTGTGGTACTTTTTTTCTTGTTTAAAAAGCCAGTTAGGCAAATTTTGCATGACTCTGGTCGCCAATTACTTTTGCGTACGCCCAATGTACTTGTATCCGCAATTGCACCCGAATTCATAGGCAAAGTTTGGGGCGGCGTGCAAAGGCAAGGCAACCTTTGGCCGGCTTACCGGAAGGCTTTGAGTGAGACTGTGGCAGACTAGATCAGCTGTATTTTACGTCCTTTGTATGGCGCAACACAACCGTCGCTTAACTGTATTACCCCCTTACAAGGTAAAGACATTAAAATGGGCTACTTCGGAACTGAGTGGTCCGTAACGTTCGGCCGTAAACAGCTGGTTTTTTTATGATGCGCGAATGATAGCCACGTTTAAGTAGGACCTCTTTCATGCGGGCAATTTTTTCTAGGTAGGGTCTCACTGGAGCAAGTATTTATATCTCTCTGGAAAAGTGAAAGTCCAAGATTTAGTTTTCGCTGTGCTGACACGAAGCTGGTAAGGTTAAGATATTGACTTTCCCAGGTAGTTTTGTGGAAAACAGAGTGACTTATTAAACCATCATCATCTCTGAACAGGAGGACGTATAGGAAGGACAACTTGTGACCTGATAATCGCAGATCTAGATTTAATCTACCTTTTGATTTTTGTTAATTCCTTTCTCCAATATTCCCTCCTGTATCTCAACTTTAAAAGGCAACATTATTGTTGACTATTCGTCGCATTTAACAATTACCTTGCTGTTTCTTATCGATTCTGTAGAAGTTCCAACTGTTGTCTACTTCATTCGTTACCTTGACCATGCAAAGACAGGTAGTAGTCGAAGAGCTGTCGCGAATTTTGTTTATACAAAGACATCCTGCTGTATACGCATGCTTTAAACTCGTACCTGTGAAACAAATCTTCATAAAAGCTTTGGCTTCGAGCACACCCACTTCTTGGACGCCACAGGTCCTAGCGACATCAATCAGGCGACCAGGGTAAACGCCTCAGCCTATTCAACAGTCGGCAAACGTAGCTTATATAGGTCCACCATTTATCCCTAGTCCCAGCATTTTGTCCTGCAAAAACGGTGGTTATAGAGTTTTGGGGCGTGGGGAAATAGGATAGGCAGAGAAGGAACGTTTTAGAAAA